GCACGATCTTGGCTCACTGCAGCCTCTGCCTCCTGGGGAATTCAAGCGATTCTCCTGCCTCAGTGTCCCAAGTAGCTGGGATTACAGGCGTGTGCCACCACGCCTGGCCGATTTTTGTATTTTTAGTAGAGATGGGGTTTCTCCGTGTTGGCCAGGCTAGTCTCAAACTCCAGACCTCAGGTGATCTGCCCGCCTTGGTCTCCTGAAATGCTGGGACTACAAGCATGAGCCATTACACCCTGCCCCTGCTTTAGTTTTGTTTGTAGCACCTGTCATCACTTGATATGTTGTATGTCTTTCTTATCCCATTTCATGTCTGTCTTTTTGTTTTTTTGTTTTTTTTTGAGACAGAGTCTTGCTCTGTCACCCAGGCCGGAGTGCAGTGGTGCAATCTTGGCTCACCGTAGCCTCTGCCTCCCAGGTTCAAGCAATTCTCCTGCCTTAGCCTTCCAAGTAGCTGGGATTACAGCTGCGCGCCACCATACCTGGCTAATTTTTGTATTTTTAGTAGGGACGGGGCTTCACCATGTTGGCCAGGCTGGTCTCGAACTCCTGACCTTGTGATCTGCCCACTTCAGCCTCCCAAAGTGCTGGAGTTACAGATGTGAGCCACCGCGCCCGGCCTCATGTCTGACTTTCCACACCGGAACATGAGCTCCAAGAAGGAGCGCCCTCTTGTTCCCAGCTATATCTGCAGTGGATAGACCTTGTCTGGCTCATTGAAGCACTCAGTAATTATTGTTTGAATGAATAGATGAAAATAATGAAGGAATAAAGGAACGAACTGAGGCTTTACCGGGGAAATGTTGTGAGGGGAGGGATGAGGCAGAGACAGCCGGGGGCCCAGGGGGTTTGCAGTCACCCAGGGCCGCCGTCCTGCACTGTCTCAGGAGCGTCCCTCAGCCTCAGCCTCCCTCTCTCTGCCGAGGGTCTCTGGGGCGGTTCTGAGCCCCTGCCCTATTGCCTCTTCCCTGCAGCTGGTCGAAGCGCTGGACCTGTTTGAGAGGCAGATGCTGAAGGAGGAGCGACTGCAGCCCATGGAGAGCAACTACACGGTGCTGATCGGGGGCTGCGGGCGGGTCGGCTACCTGAAGAAGGCCTTCAAGCTCTACAACCAGGTGTGTGTGAGCGCGGGGCAGCAGGGGCAAGGCTCTGAAAAGCTGGGTGCGGATCCCGAGTGTGCTGCTTGCTAGTGCTTTACACTGGGCAGGTGACTTCACCTCCCTGGCCTCAGTCACCTCCTTAAAATGATGGTGATTGTGGGTGATAAACGAGATGACGTGGAAAGCCCTCTAGCACCTGCCTGGACTGCAGCGGTCCCCATGTTCCCTTTCTTTTTCCCTTCAAAAAAAAAAAAAAAAGAGAGAGAGAGGTAGCCTCACTCTATCGCCTAGGCTAGAGTGCAATCATAGCTCACTGCAGCCCCCAACTCCTTGGCTCAAGAGTTCCTCCTGCCTCAGCCTCGTCAGTAGCTGTGAGTACAGGTGTGTAGCACCATATCTGTCTAATTCTTAAATTTTTTGTAGAGGCGGGATTGTACTGTGTTGTCCAGGCTGGTCTCTAACCCCAGCCACCCGCCTCGGCCTCCCAAAGTGCTGGGATTATAGGCCACAGCCCAGCCACTGCATCTGCGCCTCTTTTTTTTTTTTTTTTTT